AATTAGATGTGCTCTTTTGTTGTTCAGCTTAGGGGTTGAATTCTGTACATTTGATATTTGTAAATTTGTCACAACTTTAACCCAACAAGGGCATTTTAGTAATCAAACTGGAGTTGATTTGTAAGAATTTAGTAAACAACTTAAAGCATCAACATCATTTATACTTTTATTCCAACAATCCAATTTCTCGTCAATTCAATTCCTCTTATTTGGATTAGTAAATGAGTAATGCTAGGCTTACCACATTTTTCATACCACAATTGTACCACCTCTCTAATAGAGGTGGAGTCCAACAATACAATGAAACCCACCTCTATTAGAGAGGTGGTACAATTGTGGTATGAAAAATGTGGTAAACCTAGCATTTTCCTTAGTAAATATGTCATAGATTAGATTAATTTAGAATAATTTATTACTTGTATTAAAAAAGAAACTCGTTATCTGAGAAAGAAAAAAAAAATTGGTATCCAACAAAAGAGGCCCAAGTTGCATATTACAAATCCACGATACCTTTCGAAGAAAGAACTGTCGCTGTTTGGAAAGTAGGCCCTTAATTTTAAGCCCAGACTTTCTCTCTTCTTCTTCTCAGCCCTAACTCTATCACTCCCCTCTCTCTCTCTCTCTCTACCAGCTCCAGAGACATCGTCGCCAACTGAGTCACGGTGAGTCATCCACCGAAGCAATTCACCATTCTACTTCATCCAATTCGTAGAATTAGCATTACTACAATCAAGAATTCAACTTTCCCTCTCTCCACTGTAATTCACTCTTCTTTTGGTTTCCGAGGCATCGCAGTTCAATTAACGATTTCTCAGCAACGAAGAAGAGCTTTCATTATCTTTCAAAATAGTAATTAGCTTCTTTTTCTCTGCAATTTATTTTTCTTGTTGTTGCTTTCTAGTGGTAGCAGCTGAAAAAATCCAGCAACAATGGGGATCATAGAAAGGATCAAAGAAATTGAGGCCGAAATGGCGCGGACTCAGAAAAACAAAGCCACAGGTTCTTTCCCTCTTTAAAATTTTTATTTTTATTTTTGTGGTTGAATCTGTTAAGGTCTTTTAAGAATTTGGTTATATCTTAATTTTTTATTGCAATGCTGAAAAATGCAGAGTATCATCTTGGCCAGCTCAAGGCAAAGATTGCCAAGCTAAGGACTCAGCTCCTGGAGCCTCCAAAGGTATGCAACTCATCCATCTGCATACATATACATATGAATGTAATTTGATGCGAATGTAGAATTTTCCTTTGTTAGTGTTAGGAGTTTTTATGGTCATGAGCTTCTTGTTAGATGCTTACGTTAATTCAATTGGTGTAAAGCAACTTCTTCATTTGTTTAAGGTTTACTTCTTCCTTTTTTATGATTTAAAACCGCAATTCAGGGGTCTAGTGGAGGTGGAGATGGTTTTGAAGTTACAAAATTTGGCCATGGACGTGTTGCGCTCATTGGGTTTCCAAGGTTTGCCATATTTATATGACTTCAAATTGTATTGTGAAATGTTGTAACTTCAAAAACAATAAGAAATGACCGATCCTTACGAGTGTTTCCTGTTGTTTGTAGTGTGGGGAAGTCAACACTTTTGACAATGTTGACGGGCACACACTCCGAAGCTGCATCTTATGAGTTCACAACACTTACCTGCATTCCTGGAATTATCCATTACAATGATACAAAAATTCAGCTGCTTGATCTTCCTGGAATTATTGAAGGTGCTTCTGAAGGCAAAGGTCGTGGGAGGCAGGTGAAATCCTTAAGCTTGTTCTCATGTGATATGATAACATGCCATCATTCTTTTATCTTACCAATAAAATATTATAAGAAATTTAGAAAATGATACTTAATAAATGCCTCATTATAGAGAAGAGATAACTTGTAAATTGTCCCTTGGCAAATCAATGTAAAAAGCTCAGTATTTCCAGGTATCATGGAAATGGCTAGAATTTGACAAGACTGTCTCTTGCAGGTTATTGCTGTTGCCAAGTCTTCAGATATTGTGTTGATGGTCCTTGATGCCTCAAAAGTAAGTGCCTATTCTGTAGTAACATGCATTTGTAACTATTTTGCTATTTTAGTAGCTGATAAATAAGTTTACTACTCGTCTGCTTACAGACTTTCATTATCTTCATTGTTGGCAACCAGCTCGACCTTTTGGTTCCTGACCTGTTGATTTGATACTTTATGTTGGCTTCCCTTTTTTTGTGTATGATTTCTGGCAATTACTTTAGTCTAACCATCACGTTGTTCTATATATTGTTTTTTTTAATTTTAATATTTCAGAGTGAGGGTCATCGGCAAATATTGACAAAGGAGCTGGAAGCTGTTGGTTTACGTTTAAACAAGAGACCGCCTCAAGTAAGTTTTATCTTCAAAATATTGACTTTATAATTTCCAGAACTGACTGAATTGGGTCTTAGTTTCCGTCAATTGTTTAGCTGTTTCCCTATGTTATTTTTTATGTTTGCTTTGCTAGGCTTCTAGGGACTTTAGCTGAATTTTTTTATTTTGTTTCCTGGGCAGATATACTTCAAAAAGAAAAAGACCGGGGGAATTTCTTTCAACAGCACTCTTACTTTGACTCATGTGGACGAGAAGCTTTGTTATCAAATTCTACACGAATACAAAATTCACAATGCTGAGGTACTTTACTTTGGATTAGTCAAGATTGTCCTTTGTCACAGCTAATGGTGATTCTTTTATCGGACATACACACTAGTGGTACCCAATTTTCTTTAAGTCCATGATGTACACTCTTGGATATGGTTGATACTTTCTTTGCCTTAGCCATCCCATGGGAAAGAATGCTCATGTATGATAAATGTTATGCAGTTGCTCTTTCGTGAGGATGCCACAGTGGACGATCTTATTGATGTCATTGAGGGAAACCGGAAATACATGAAGTGTGTATATGTTTACAACAAAATAGATGTTATTGGTATTGATGATGTGGACAAATTAGCCCGCCAACCTAATTCTGTTGTCATTAGCTGCAATCTCAAGGCAAGTTCTACACTTTTTATTTTGATTAAATTTGAATGAGATACAGAGGCGTGCAACTGTGCTATGAATAAAAAACCTTGAGCAATCTGTCGCAGTTGCACAACTTTTGTTCAGAACTCAAAAGGCATCGTCTACTATGGTTCTTTCCATGAAATATATGTTTTTTTGTTGGATCCTAACGTGCAACATGTGTAAAAATTACATTACCATTTATCAAGAAGTTAGCGATGAAATGAATTTCCCATATGAAATGGTTTCAGGAACACTAACTTTGATTCTTTATGTTGCTCAACAGCTGAACTTTGACAGACTGCTTGCAAAGATGTGGGAGGAGATGGGACTTGTTAGAGTTTATACAAAGCCTCAGGGCCAGCAACCTGATTTCGGTGACCCTGTAGTTCTTTCTGCTGTAAGTTGCAAATCTTTTTTTATTTTTTCTGTTACTTCCTTATGATCAGTTATTACTCCATTCTTATGAGCCTTCTGGCTTTGTTCGTTTTCTCTTATTCTCTTTGCATGTATGTGTAGGATAGAGGGGGCTGCTCCGTTGGAGACTTTTGTAACCACATACACAGGAGTTTGATGAAGGAAGTAAAATATGTGCTAGTGTGGGGTACAAGTGCAAGGCACTACCCACAGCATTGTGGGCTCGGTCATGTTTTGAATGATGAAGACGTGGTTCAGATTGTAAAGAAAAAGGTAAACCTCTCTTTATGTTGTTCATTAGAAGTAAACCTGTCATTCTGCTGTATCAATATACTTTCACCAGGGTTGTACAACTTCTCTCCTTTTTGCTTTTAGATATACCCATTGATTTTCTGAATAGAGGAAAAGAGTTGTGGGGTCTTATGATTATTTTAACTCCAGATGCTTCTTGGATTTCAGTTTTTTTTATTTTTATGTTCTCCTTGCAACAAGATGGGGAAAGAAATGTGTTTTCCATGAAAACCTAATTTTTTTTGGGATTTGCATTCTCCAGGATAAGGAAGGGGAAGGGAGGGGTCGGTTCAAGTCACATTCAACAGCCCCCGCTCGTATATCTGACAGAGAGAAGAAGGCTCCCCTGAAGCAGTAATATCATTCACGGAGACCTGAGTTTCTTACATGAACTGGCACAGAAGAATGATCTGTGAATGAGTACATCCAGAGTCGAGATGCCTATGAAGTATGACATAATCATATCATTTGCTTCATTGAAAAATTAGTCTAAAATGAAGAATTGGTGTTAGAATGTCATGCTTATCAGAAAAGGTAGATTTTTTTGGTCCATGTGTTGTATCTTTAGGGTTTAATTTATAACTTCTTGGAATTTTGAAGATATACTGTACCATGATCTGTGTTTCTGGAGATGGTGATTAATATATTTCTAAAAGGCTCTCTTCAGCTTTATCTTGCTGTCGCGCAAAGGAAAAGTTCAGAGCCCATCTAGCTTTATAAATGTATTTCGAGGTAAAAGTTGGGTGCAGATTTTTGTAGAAAGAGAAATATTACCCATGAGAACGTTAAGAATTAATTATTTATCTCAACTTTTCAATCCAGCTACACCCAGGAGATTTTATCATTCCTCCTTCACTCATCATCTTTCTCACCCTCTCAGCATCATCCCATTTATTTATTTCTGCGTAAGTATTTGCTAAAAGCACATAATTTCCGGCATCATGCGGCTCTATTTTGAAGAGATGCATTGCTGCGATCTCACTCAATTTGGTATTACCATGAACCTTGCAAGCTCCTAACAAAGAGCCCCAGATCTTTGCATCAGCAGCACCAATGGTGTATATTATAAGATTGTACGCCTTTTCAAGCTGCCCAGCCCTTCCAAGAAGGTCAACCATGCAAGCATAGTGCTCCTTAAGTGGCTCGATCCCGAAGACCCGAGTCATGAGCTCAAAATATTGGCACCCTTCCTCAATCAGTCCTACATGGCTACATGCATTGAGGAGACCGACGAATGTTACCTGGTTCGGTCTTATTCCTTCTTTTTGCATCTCTGAGAAGAGATTCATGGCATCCTCGGCCTTTCCATGGTCGGCAAGAGCGGCGATCAATGCACTATAAGATATGACATCTCTGATACTCATTCTGTTAAATTCTCTCCATGCCTGTTCTATGTCCCCGCATTTGGAATGCATATGGATCAATGCATTGGATACAAAGAGTGTCCTCTCTGAAAGTGTTTGATAAATGAGGAAACATCAGCAATACAAAAGGGAAGAAGAACATGACATCGATAGAAAAGAAAGCATGCCATTATTTATAGAATTGATTCAATGAAAACTCACCACAACATCCTTCCTCCACGTGCTTTGCTAATGTGGCTGCAACTTCATTATCCCCAAGTTGTGTACAAGCTGAAATAGCTCCAACCATTGCCACCTCATTGACTGTCACTTTTTCTTCCCTCATTTTCTTATACATCTCAATGGCTTCCTTTGCATAGCCATTCTGTGCATAACAAGCCACCATTGCTGCCCAACATGATGCATCTGCCATCTGTGTCTCTTCGAAAACTATCTTGGCTTCCAAAACATTACCACACTTCCCATAACCTGCTATCATAGCCACCCATGCCACTGAATCTTTCTCCACCATTTTTTCATACAATTCCTTTGCTGTTTCCATATCACCATTGTTTGCGTACCCAGCAACCATTGTAGTCCAAGAAACTGCATTGCGCTGCTCCATGTTATCAAACAACCACCGCGCCTCGCCCATCAATCCCATCTTTGAATACCCACAAACCATGGCCGTCCAAGCAACCAAGTCTTTATCATCCATCCTATCAAAGATGTCCCTTGCATCCAGTACAAGCCCACATTTTGCATACATATGAAGAAGTGCAGTTTGCACTATCTTGTTTCCCAAGAAACCATACTGCACAACCCTTGCGTGGACTTGTTTCCCTTCAAAAAGTGCCGGAACACGAGCACATGCATTGAGAACTGAAGAGAAGGTGAACCCAGATGGCGATACGCCAACCCGGTGCATTTTAGCATATAAAGTGATGGATTGACCAAAATGATCATGAAGCACATGGGAATGTATGAGGGAGGTCCAAAGAAACTGGTTCCTACACTTGGGTATTTGGTCGAACAGGTAATGGGCATAACGAAGGTTGTCGCCAGGGAGTTGTAGGAGCCGCTTGAGCAACTGAACCAAGATATGGTAGCGGTGGTTGGGTTTAGTTGGGGATTTGAGTAGGAGAGTGTGGATTTGTTTAAGTTGGTTTAGGGTATTGCTAACGTACAGGTAGTGGGTGATAAGATTATAAAAGGGTTGGTTTGTACCAAGTAGGGAGACCTCGAAGGAGGGAATGAACTTGTTAGTCATGAATTTTCACTCATGTCCTTCTATCACAGGAGTTTGCGAGAATTAAGACACCGGATTTTTTTGCTCTAGCTTATTTAGTCTGGACGTTTATTTACAAAGGTTATGAATCGATGAATTCAGGAATATGAGATCAAATGAATGGTTGTGGGTTAACTACCGCGTATAGCCCTTTATATTAAAAAAAAAGACCCGCCTGCGCACTACGTCCGCCACGTGTCAAAAATAGTTTCGCCGAGCGGCTATACTATTTTTTATTTCAAAAACACCGGGTATAGCCGACCGGCTCTACTCTCTAAGTATATAACCCTATAGCCGCACGGCTATACCATTTTTTTAAAAACCTTAGTGTGGCCGTGCGGCTATACGGGGGGTTTTTAAAATAAAAAGAGTAGCCGATCGGCGATATTATTTATAATTTTAAAAAGACGCTGTGAAAATAGTATCGCCGAACGGCTATACTATTTTTATAATCAAAATTATGGTATAGCCGCTCGGCTATACTGTTTTTATTAGGGTACAGCCGCCCGGCGATACTATTTATTTTTTTCTAGCGCCGCTTCACCACGTGTCAAAACAGTATAGCTGGTTGGCTATACTGTTTTTTATTTAGGAAAACCACTGGTATAACCGCCCGGCTATACGATTTATAATTAAAAAAATGCCAGCCACCTGGGTCCTGCTACATGTCAAAATGGTATAGCCGCCCGGCTATACCGGTTTATAGAAAAGATTTCATAGTATAGCCGATCGGCTATACGATTCATTTTTTACACAATTAAGGGGACCCGCCTGGAGTCTAGCGCCAGTTTCGCCACGTGTCAAAAAAGGTAATATAGCCGCCTGGATATACGCTTTTTATTAAAAAAAACACCGTGTATAGCCGCCCGGCTAAACTATTTATTTAAAAAAACGTTTGGCGTTTTATAATACTAGATTGCCAGTTTAGCTCACATGTATGTATATATGGACCTCTGTTCCAACTTGACAGTTTCCCATAACATAACATGTGGGGAACATATTTTAAACACATGTTTCTAACTCAAGTGGTAGATGCCACCAAACAATTTTCTGCACAAAACAGAGTTATTCTTGAGTTTTGCAGTTCTTGTGGCGAAGCTAGTGTTATGACGAGTTTCCATCCTTCAAGGATTTAATTCATGTGCATCGATACACTTGTAGATGTCTTCTCGCTTTTGATCATCAAGTGGGAGACTCTTTCTGCATAATTCCATACAACATCTATCAGAAAAAATGAGCACAACATAATACATTAACTACAAATTTCAATTCACCTTTGGAGCTGAATATTAGAGTAATCAATCTCCGCAATGACAGTAGTTTCCTCATGCCCTGAAGTAACAATTATCTCTCCAGACTGCCAATTCACAAAAAAAAGAAGGAACAATCGCTAAAGCTTTTGTTCATGCATATAGGAAACAATTGACCATTTTTATAATTTACAGTACCGGTCCAACTAGAGTGGAATGGCCCCAAGTTGCATAAGAACCGGTAGAGTTTCGAGCGGGTGAGCAAGTTGCCACAAATAACTAAAAACATTGATGGTCATGTTAGAAGAACTTTTGGGCTGTCAGAACAATAGAAAATTTATGGCGACAGAGTCGGTCTTTAAGCACCTGGTTATCAACGGCCCTGAAGAAAGGGAAGGATTTGTAATTAGTGCAGAGGAAGTATTGTAGTTGTAGGAAATAAGCTCAGAATATGTGGAATGTTGGCAGCAAGGACAGAAGGGAAGAGTGAGTTTTCCTTATGTTAAGAACAAGAAAAACACAATCAACTTCAAAATGTCTAAACTACTCTAATCTATGGGGGAGGGGATTGAACTGGGTGCAAGGAGACAGGCACACTGCCCTAGCCAACTGGCCTAACCCACATTTGCAACTTCGAAGTGGTTAGTTGTCCAGAAAGCATTAACAAGCAAAGATGCTAGAAGTATGTGAGTGATAAAGTCTGGCCCGAAGTAAGTCAAGCATTATGGAATGGCAGTAATAATCTGATTCTATCAATATCTATGCAATGTCTTTGCGTTTGTGAAATGCAACTGGATCATGTGCATCATGTCATATAAGGCTGAGAAAACCTTGAGGAAAAAGAACCAATCTTTTGGGGTTCATACAAAGAATCCTGTCTACAAGGCATATAATCAATCTTACCTAGCTCTCTGTACCAGCTCCCACAACAATTCACCAGTGCTCACGTTGAATGCCCCAGGATTGCATATGATGTCAACCCCTTGCATTTACCACAACCATTTTGAAATTTGAAATATGGATTTAAGATGCTGAAAACCACAATTTAACCAAACCCAGTACCTCTTTTCCTGTATAATGCAGCAAGTTCAGGAAATCGTATATCATGACAAATTCCTATTCCGATTCGACCAACTTCTGCATATGTGCAAATTGCTAATCAGTTGCTTAACTCAGAGACATAGGAGATGTGAAAGTTTAACATCTTATGTTCCCTCAAAAAAAGTTTAGGACAACTTCAGATGCTTACCTGTGTCCACAATGGTAGGTTGATCCCCTGCAGTGAAGGTGTCAGATTCCTTGAATGAAATCTCTCCTGGAATGTCAATGTCAAACAGATGTATCTGCAAAGCAACACCATCATCAACCTTTCAAAGGTTCTATCTTACTTTATCCTCCTAATTTACAGCCAAACGATATCGAATTTGATGTGCTTACTTTCCTTCCTGTGCTTAGCTTTCAGCTTTCCATCTGGTCCAAATATGCAGCAAGTATTGTACAACCGACCATGATCCCATTCAGGCAAAGATCCTCCTATGATTGTGATCCCATGGCAACAAGCAGCTTCAGATAACATGGACAATGTTGGCGAGGCATCTCTATTGTCAAAATCCTCAGCATATTTTGCAAAATAATCACTTGAATAAGGACAGTTCCACATTTCCTTTCACAGAAAGTGCAAACCAAACAAACATGAATTTAAGGGTCCTGAGGAACTTTTAACAAATATTTATTCAAACAACTTGGCTACAACCACATGGGTAGCTAACTCACTGGTAAAACAAGCAGCTTTGCACCTTGCTCGACAGAAAATCTTATCAAACGAGAGGCACGATCAAGATTCTGGCTCTTGTCTGAAGTAACTGACAACTGACAGAGAGCAATCTTAAACTGTCCCATAACAAAAACAGTTTTAATTAACATACATTTGCATGTATTTCCTACTATGAAACTAGCAAAGAGCAATTTTTATGATCAAGAACACATTTAATATGGGAAACATTTAGCTATAGTTCAAATGTTGGACATGAAAGGTTTCCAACTTAGCTATAGTTCAATATAACTAGTACTGAAATCAAACCTTGGTAATATTGGGGAGTTGAAATGGATTTGGGGCATCAGCCATGGTGAGATTCCTGGTGGTCCAAAGAGATGCCATCACAAACCAAAGTAGTTTAGTGAATTCAAACCAAAAGGAAACCCTTTTTTTATTTGACTTGTTAATTGACAACCTCTTTACAATTTTGTGCAGGCAATTTTTCTAACTTATCTCATGATTTTGAATTATTAAACATGCAAGACCCCAAGTTTTGGAGAAATTTTTGTAGGTACCCGGTACACAAGCTGGCTCGTGTACCCACCAATAGAAATAAGACACGTGTAATAATTTATTTTTAGCCTTAAAATTGCAGTAACTTTTAACTCTGTTAACTTTTTAACTCCGTCAGCCTTTTGCTGCAATCGAGAATCTTTTGATTTTTAATTTATCAATTTTTCAAACAAAACCCTAAAGATACAACTTTAATCTGACAATAACCCTTTTGCCGTCAGATACACAAGCCTGCTGTACGTGTTCAGCTACTCAATCCATGGACAAAGAAATAGATGATTTGTGCTCCTGTTGGAGAGACAGATGCAGAAAACCAATTTCGACCCATATGCAGAAAATGATTTGAACAATTTCGACCCATATGCAGCGAAAGCCCAATGGAAAAGACAGAATTAAAAGGCTGACGGAGTTAAAAGCCAGCTGGTGTACCGGATACCTACAAAAATTTCTCCAAGTTTTGTTTCTTTATGTAAAAGAAAAAATGTTGGGACAAGATAGAGTCTAACAATCATGTACGCCAGCACACCAAGCACTAAGCACCATATACTGTACTTTAATTGGCCCTTTTTTTATGCTAAATTTCAAACATTTACTAACCCAAAATCAAAATAAACCACTTGTAGCAAATCTTGGTTGGATCGATGTTTATCCCTATATGATGGGACCATCCGATCAAATTGAGGAGGACAAGCAGCATATACGTATGGCGTCAATGTCTGGATTATTATTCACTAGCCGAATTCTTTGAAACTAACATACTTGTAAGTATTGAATGACATAACATGCGGGATATTTAGAATTTATATTATACATATAGCTTCGGTTGAGGGATTTTTCAAATAAGTTTATTTGAGGGACACTTTTATAGAGCTCACCACATAATGTATTTCAATGATCTGAACTGTCTATTTTTAGATATTACTTCAAAGATCATCTCGGCAAAAAATCACTTAAATCCGAAACCATTTGACCACTCAATTAGATGGTTGTTGTTGACGTGAGTTAATTTACTAAATCAAGGAGATTTATTTCTTAAGTTAATTATGTGATTTACTTCCTTATTTTATATAATTGACACATCCTTGTATAATTATGAGATATTCTCATAATTAATTACTGTATTTATTTCCTTGTAAACTCCTATGTATACCTCCTTATGGAAAAGAATACAATTAACCTAAAGTATTCAAACCATATTCATACTTTAACAGTTGTAATTATAGTCTTTTCTTGAATCACCGTGTTTATTTATTTTGTTGGTCTCAATTAGATGTTTTAATAAATTTGCTTTTTTTGTTTTTTTTTTTTGTTTTTGCAAGGAGGATCTATGAATGAACACTTGAAAAATAAACGGTTTGGATCGTTGAAAAAAAAATAGAGGACTCGTAAAGGGTGTCCCCCAATAGAAGGGTACTGAGAGAAAAAATTGCATAATAGTTTTAAATGTGTTTGCTCAACATATTGTAAAATGTAGACTGACAAAGAACCAAAATACATAGCTTAAACACAGTCCAAAACCCAAGTAATTAGACTAATTACAGATCTAGAACGGAGGAATGAATCTAGACACTAGTATTACTAAGATTCATATCCTTTTCCACCACCTTTCTGGTCCATGCAGTTTGGTTTGGAGGAGTTTTAAAAAAAAAAACTAAATTTGGCTTAAGAACCCACAAAAACAGTGAGTTGAAAATTTCCATGTCATATTGTAAATCTCATCATCCCATGCACCTTGGAGCCTCAATAAATATTCTGAGCCCTGTCACGTTCACACCCCCCTTGTAACTCGGCATCGACAAGAAACCAATCAAGTTCTCATATCATTACTATGTCTTTGTGCAAATCGGATCAATGGCCAATATTAATTCAATATCCTAATCAACTTTTGGATTAATTAGTTATTATAAATATATATTTATATCCCCTAAGCACCCCTCCCTCTGCCTCCTAAGAATTATACCATTACTGGTCTGCTAAACCTAAAAACCCCATGCGGCCATCACTCTCATCAGGCATTGTGGTAATTGGTCTGCTGACCATTTCAGTTCTAGTGTTGATTCTTTCTATAGTTGGATGGTACGTATATCGTAACCGTATACTATCGTATACTCCAACAGGCAACGAACCGGTTCAGAAGATCGAAGGCACCGTCGATAGGAGGTTGAAGCCAGATTTAATCACATTCAATTATAAGAGTGATGATCAAACTGATCGTGAAGAAGAAGGTTCAAATTGTGATGAAACTCGGGGTGTTCAATGTGGGGTGTGCTTGAGAGGTTTAGAAAATGTGCAACTCGTGAGGCAGCTGCCAAAATGCAAGCACACCTTCCACGCACCTTGTATTGACACTTGGCTTCACTCTCATTATGGCTGCCCCCTCTGCCGTACTCTCATTGACCGGCTGCCTTCTGATGATGACGCGGCATTGGCTACACCTCCTGATCAGGCGAAGAATTCCCAGGAGGTGACACCAGTAGACAATATCAGAATTTCAATGTTATCTACCTCAATCATCTAGAGATTATATGGCCCTCTGCTTTTTTTTGTTGCTTTTTTTTTTGTTTTTTGTGTGGAAAAGTTCATATTTAAATGAAAGCTTCATTCCCAAGTTTCTGCATTAACAAGGAAGATGTTGATGAGTCGTTCTCCAGTAAGGATGTCCTTGTTATTCTTATTTTTTAAAGGATTATTTATTTACAACATGACCTCATCATCAAGTGATGAATAATGTACAGCACCAGATTCTCTACTTATATCCAAAATTTCATTATTGTTTTGTTTTATTTTTTTTAGTACAAGCGAGCGATTGGGGGAGGGGATTTACACAAATATTTATTGGGTGCCTAAAGATTTCGAACATCTACCCTCATGCTTGGAAGTGATAGAACTCAACCAACTGAGCTATGCCAAAATTTCATTGTTTTAACTAAGCTCAAGTGAGGTTGAGATTTGTAGGTAGAAAAAGAGAGATCTTAAGTTCAAATAATTTAGTCCAAGCCATACGAATATTTTAGCCCAATTCCCAAAGAACATGGGCCCAGAGTGACAAGCCCATGAACAAACGACATGTGGTTCTTGAAACCAGAATATTTCACACATTGCAATCTAGTCGTGGTTTTGTTTTTGTTTTGTGTTTTTAACTCGTGATTTTGCTGCACCTAGTCGAAGCTGTGTGTGTGTCACATCATAATTGAAGGTGGCCAGGTCAACTGTTTGGGTCAACGAATCCCATCCCACTTCATTTTCATTCTGAGGGAAAAAAGTCTTAAACTGACAACAATAATTTGGTATGGGCATAGTCTCCTCCTGCATGCTGCAGCCAGCCGCCCTGCAAATGCAACTAGCAGCAGCTAGTCTTCTTCAAAGCTTCAAATCCAAGCAACAAAGACACCTGCCTAAATTCCCTCTCATCATATATTGGAACTTTGGAGCTTCCATTCATGTAAACAGGGACATGATTTTGAACCCACTAAGGGTAAATTGGTAATTGACACAGATGCTTTGCATTGCATTGCATGCACATGTCATTGCACAATTTGAGTTAGGACAGTTCTCAACTGTGCTCTGCTAAACCTAGTTCTAGTCTCAATCAAAATGACTTCTGAGTTGATGTTTAAACAAATCAATTGCTTTCATTTCTTTCTTTGGTTGTGTATGTGCATCTTTATACCAATCTGATTGGATTTGCAGGACACTAGGGTTTGGTTTAGATTGCAACTACTCGGCTAGTAATCACTGTACCATTCTGAGTTTCATTTCTGTTGATGATAGTGCTGCTTGAAAGTGAGTTCAAAAAGATTTCTTAATGTGGAAAATTATTGGTGCACAAGTTTTCCTTTCTTCTGTTGTATACAAACTATTAGGTTTAAAACGTTGAGAGTGTGAATCTTGTATCGAAGAATTAAAGTTTCGCTTAATAGTTTAAATGATCCCGGGTTCTCTATTCATTGCTAATTGATTTTGGGTTGGATGTTCACATCACATGGTATCAAAGCATGATATCCACATGTTGAAACTAACGACCCACATGCTCCCATGCCACCTAATATGGATTGTCCACTTGTTAAGAGTATGCATATCCCACGTCGAGATCTCAAAGCATATTGCCTACAAGTGTAAATGGTCCAGGACTTCACCTATATCCCCAATTGGTTAAGGGTTTTAGGTTAATGGGGAAGAAATAAATGTTTATTTTGATTGCTTTGAAAATTCAAAGTATGTATAGCTATTGCTTTATAGAGGAATGTGTGAATTGATAATGACATTTCCATGTGTGCGTATATAATTTTTCAAGGCAGACCAGAAATGGTGCTTAGACTGAGACTGTAACGCTAAATTTAGCACGATGTTAAAAAGGCGTGTATAGTGGGAATTGCACTGTCCACACACACACACAACACTAGGGCTTCTCATCTCATCTGTCAACATTATCCTGAAACTTACGATTCAAAGAGAGAATCTTGGAGGAATGGTGACTGGCCACATTTTTTTTTTCTTTCTCGGTGGCTTTTTCTCAGTACCCAAGCAACCTCTCTAAGGCCTGTTGCTTTCACCAGAACATCACAGTCGTTGCTTTAATTCAATTTCCACGCCACCCTTTTGCAAAAAATTATGGCACAAATTAAGTATAACTTGTCCTTGTAGCTCAGGAAATCCCACATAGTTTTCATTGCAGTTTTTGTCATCATTGAATGATTATGCCGCAGTTTAATTCTTGCCAGAAACTATGTTTAGCTTTGTGTTCTGAAATAGAAGGAAGAAAAAGACTGCGAGAGTTCTTACTGTAGGCATTGGTTCAATTCTAGTTAGTCAAGAACAAAGGATGTTGCTCTAAAATGAACCAATTCAAAGTAGAAAATGAGTTCTGCTATAGGCCACATGATGAAGACCAGGGCATTTTGAAAATTGAAAGGGCTTTTACAAAGATATGCCAAACTCTTATATTATGAACTACGCATTGGTTTGGTGATTTCTAACAAATTTAGCTCCATCCAATTTTTTTTTTCATTAATAGAGGAATGAGAATTCGAATTTGAGATTTCATCTAACATCGAGAACAGAAGTACAACCATAATCCCTAATCCAACTTTTATATTAAAATTTTATTACATATGTGGATTAAACCAGTTAGTCATAGCAGTATACCATACACCCGATTTCGATCAGTTTTACAGTAGCTCAATTCTTTTTGTTTTACATCAATAAATAACTAAAGAGTTGTTCATATGGAACATAAATAAGTGAATCTAGCAAAGCTCCACCAAGAGTATGTTGGATCCAATCTCTCTCTCTCAAAATAAAGGGAAAAGAAAAGGCTGCATCCTCTCAGACTCTGTTTTTCCATTTCACAATCTTCTTGGGATCACCAAAATTCTCTCCACTTTCTCTTTTTACTCCCTCACACAAAAACAAACACCATTAATCACCTCACCACCTTCTTTTCTCTTTTACTAAAGCTGCCTTGTCTTGTCTCCCAACCCCTTCTTTTTTTCCTCTCCCTCCAAAACTCCCCCATCCCAAAACTACCCATCTCAAAATAAGACACCCCATACAACTTCCAAGGTCAATTTCGTACTCTCACCCACCAAAGCTGACAGAGCCACACGTAGCAAAGTAGTACAGGTGTCAGATCATGAGTGGTGTTAATTTTACTGCTAGGCAGTAGGGGGCATATGAGTTGATATTATAATTTATTTATTCTGTGTGTGGTCGCGTGTGACAGCGGATCTCATTGGGATCTGTGAGGACCTAGGAGGAGCTTGCACTCGTGTGAACGCCCGACATGTTGGCCCAGCCCACCACGTGCGGTGAAAAAGCCTTTTATAAAAGTCGCTGTAGACTGCGTTGCCTGCCTGCCTGCCAATTACCAAATCCAATTTGCTCATGCTGTACCACGCTTGGATTCCAGTGCTTTCTGCTCGCATAAAAAAACCCTAATGGGCCCACAGAGTTTTTATTTAATAAATATTTAGTTATATACTCATTCTTAATACTAAAATTATAAATAAACCCTACACCATTTTATTTATATAAACAAACTAAAAAAAAAAAATACAATGATAAAGCAAAATAAAAACTAATAATATATTTATAAATATAAATAATAATATATAATAAATGAAAAACCAACCCACCCACAACCCTACCTCACAGTCGATTTGCTACAAGAAATCTAGCCAAAAGATGCATCTTCCCAAGCCTTTACCCACCTCGTTCATTTACGAAATTCTTTTTGCTTCGCCTGAAAATAGATGGCCCCCATTCAACAAGTCGTTCAAGATTTTCAAGCATTGCCTTTTTCATGAATGATGCCGGCTGGGTTTTAGAGGGAGGAGGTAGTGGGTGGGACTGCGTAATCTGTGTCGCCGGAAAATTTGGATTGTGGAGGGACTGGGTAATCTGGGTTTCGAGGGTGTTTTTCTTGGGAAGAAACAGAGGAGAGAAAGAGACGAGAGAGAGAGAGAGAGAGAGAGAGTCGGTTTTTTTTTTTTTTTCTTTTTCTATTTTCTAACTATTTTAGTTTTTATAATAATAATAATAAATTAAATAGTAAGTCACGTGACTTTTTTGACGAAAAAATGAATGAAATTCGAACAAATGAACGACGAGGACTAAATTGGCGATTTTAATTAGGGAGACTTTGGAAAAACCTAAAGTAGAAAGAAATTTTGTAAAAGAAGCCAAAATTGACAAAATTTATTTATTTTTGGATTTCCTAAGAAATCATTTACACTTGCATGTCTTTGATTTGAAAGTTGAGGGGTTTTTCTGTCTTTTTTGAAAAAGCTTTGACTTTTTCCAAAAGTGAAATTTTTTTTATAGCTAAAATCTAAATTTACTTTTTAAATTAATTCGAGGACTAAATTGATTGATTTTAAAATAAAAAAAAATTAGGGGTTAATTTCTACAAGGGTCATAATTCAAGAGGTAAAACGGCTGAAAATCTGGGGTTTTGTTTTAGGGATGGAACCTCAACTTCCTTCATGGTATCAAAGCGGGTTGTCCACATGTTAAAGTCCAACTGACACACGTGCTCTACGTCACCCAAAATGCATTGTTCATGTGTTAAACTTGAAAATTCGTCACACGTGCGGGAACATGTGAGAATGTGAAGATAAAAAGTCATACTTTGGAATTTGGACTAGCTCAACTCCTTATAAGCCCTTAATAAGATTTTGCCCACAAATGAGAAATTAATGCTTAAATTTGAATGTGAGAGTGTGAATATGATGAGCAAAAGAGAAGGGTTGGAGAAAGGTTTTTTCTTTTAAAAAGAAAATGCTATTTCTTTTAGACCACAAAAAAGGAAAAATCTTTGCTTGCATTGGATATATATTGGTTTGAAATGAGGGAGTTGAATTTGGATTTTACTGTGAATTGTTTTGTAAGACTTAGAAGAAGTGTTGATCTTCTATGTTAAGAAAATCCATATGTAAATTTGTCGCAAACCATTTGAACTAGTCATACTGAATTATTTTGTTATTTTTCTGCTAAAGACTTATATTATGCTATATATTTTTCCCTTCACCTAAATTCTTACAAGTTCAGTTTGTTACAAATTCATGGTCTACTAAGTCTACTCATAAAAATATTATATGCAGCAAAGTAAATGTAGTTTTGTTTTGATTTGCTGAAATCACCAAACCACTTTTGTGGATATATCAGATTATATATATTAATTTTCCCCATCTTAGGTACCATCTTCTCACTTCAAAAGTCTATAAACCTTTTTCTTTTTTCACAACATGGGGTACTTTAACAACGAATTTGAATACAAAGGGACGGACTTATTGCATTGGTCAACTGGTCTAACCCACGTATGCATTACCTTCGTTTTTTTTTTTTTGTGAATGTTAAACAATCAATTACCATCTTGCAAGGCCTAAGAAATGTAATGGACAGAATTCAAGTAAATATTATTTGAATAATCCATGAACAAAGGAACAAACTTATAGACCACAAAGAATCACGACACAACAGATTTTATGACCTATATTTCTTTGTTGGCTTTCCCTCTAAAAAGAGTACATCTCAAATTATTGACAGCCATTATATTATTGCAAAATACAAACACAGATTATTGGTCTAATTCGTGTGACCCAACATGCACCCTTGTACATGGACATGGCCAACCCCAGTGATCAGGTCGTTTGTGGTTTATACTTGGATTGGATCCTAGCCAGAATTGGTAAGAGCCACATACAAAATAAATGATTGATCGCATTTAATTTCTTAGTAATTAATTAATTAATTTGTTTTAATTGTGCCAGTGACTTGTGCAGGGTTGGTAAGTGACATGACCATCCAAAGGCTAACCCTAGTGCTTCATGATGGCAACAAGTCGTTTTTATTAGAACATCGATGTTTCCTAATGGATGCTGCCAACCAACTCGGGCCATCCATATCCTAATATTTTTGTTGGAGAAACGACAATAAGTTTCAATTCATAGCTAGCTTTCCTTGGAAATTTGAGCAATTGGGTGGTTACAATGGAAGGGATTCAGAGTTCTTGGGTTGGGATATCAAAATTGAAAGATCAAAATTATACTATTAGGACATCCCCTCAAATTGTGTATAAAAACACATTTAAGAAGTAGGACGAGGGTTTATAACTCTAGTGGGAGAGTACTTATCGATACATAGATCTTCGACTTATTTTATATTGTGTTTACATATTAATCAGTTAATTCTATGCTTGTTTTATTTCAACCCTCCTAATTCCCTACATGTTTATTTATCGTTAAAAGCTATATGATATGAGTTTATTAAGAATAAACAACCTTGAAAGCATTATGGCTTAATTATTAACGATCGATTCTATGCTTGCAAAATAAATGGCAGGCATAACCAAATTGCATACTGTGCCTGTTCTGCGGGCACTTTATGTGCATGCGAACGCAAAATTGTTTCTAGCCGAAAGCTTACCTTTTTATAGGCTTGTTAATGGTCAGACAGGAAAAGTTTTGTAATTAATTAGGGGCTGAGCGTTTTAAGATCCTGATTTAGGGTTAATATCCAATAAAAAATTGGTCAACGCATGGGTGGGTAGGTGGTCTCATAACCCACTATCATTCCATTGAGAACAACTTCTCCCACTTCACCTACCATATTATCACATACACAATCAAAACCCAACTCTCATCTCCTACTTCTTCCAACCAGAAGAAATCAAATCTAATGTTTTAACTTAGAAAATCTTAACTCGTGCCAACGGGGTCTAGCCCTAACAAAATAATGACCTTGATTTGCAGATCAATGATTTCATATTTAAATTTTCATGACATCTTGATAGTATGTGTGTGAAAAATCTTCCTCTCCTTATAGTTTAGATTATCGCTTATATTCAAAAAATTTATAATCTTAACTTGTAATTACATTGAAATTTTGATGCCAATGATTTTGGGATCCAAATGGATATTTTCCCTGCTCAAAAGGTATAATGGTTACTTTATTTTTAGAATCTTAATAGGCGTGGAATCGTTATGGATGAATATTAATCAACGAGATCAAAGCACTAACAAAATCATAATACTTATATCAATTATACCAAGTTACATTCCCAATCCCGGCCAGTTTTTCAATCTATATAGCCATTACAGCTCTATACCACTTTTGACCATAGGGCATATAGCCTTTTCTTTTCCTACAGTCCAAGCTAGCTTTTATAATATTGCGTCCTTAAAATAATTTTAGTTTAGAATGATGTTTTGATAATTTATTATTAGCATATCAAACTGTTATGATCTTGTGGTCCTCACAATTCTCTTACATGACTTGTTTCGTAGTATACTTTAGAGATCACAAAAGATAACAAGCTTGCTAACGAGGTCTAATCCAGTTTAAAAAGGTCTTGACTTGTAGAGTAGGGATCTTATGTTCGAACTCCCATAGCATCTTAGTTTTCTGTGTGTGAAACATTCTCCTCCCCCTTTAATTTAAACTATCGCTTATAAAAAAAAAGATAACGAACTTTTTTTTTTGGTCTGGTTAATTGTTAATTTCTTCCCAAAAATTCTCAGCAACCAAATTCTTCACATCGTCCAAAAAATTTCCCATGTGTTTGCATATTAAATTCAAAGAAAGTTTGTGCCTCCCTATAAAGTTGTCTCTCTCTCTCTCCTAACTTTTTCCTCAAACCACCTTATGTTCAAGTGAAGTAGCAGAAGATATATTTTTAAGTGCAATTGGTTCGAAACACAACTGTTAAAGCTTCTGTCTTTTGACATTTTGCATTTTGATCTGAGGTACTTGCCGCGCTTCTGAGCACCAATCATGGAGACCAAGCCAACAATAAAACCGACACCCAAAAAAAAAAAAGAACCAGACATGGCTAAGTAAGATATATGTCTATCTGGTTTTCCTTTTTCTTAGTAAATTACATAAAAATATCATTTTTCTCATTACTATTTTAAATAAAACAGGCATCGAATGTGCTCTGCAAATGTTGAAAGCAGGTAATAAATAAATACAAATTTATAAAAAAACCCAATTCTAGACATGTATTTATAAAAAAACCCAAGCACTATTTAAACATAGAAACACACCCAAAATTAACCCAAAAGTCAACTTTTTGGGTGTGTTTATAAATGAGTTTTGAGTGTGTATAATTATGGGTTTTGGGTGTGTTTATATGTTTAAATAGTGCTTGGGTTTTTTTATAATTTCAACCCCCATTTTGGGTGTTTTAGTGAAACTCCCATAAATAAATTGCGTATGCAAATTGTACCACGTCATCATACCAATCAACAATTCAACGGTATTTTTAATTTCAACACATGCAATGCCGATTAACAATTCAACAGTTTCTTTAATTTCAATACACATGCAATGGTGTTAAAACCAAAACAAATAATATTTCATTACAAAATTATATGAATGCATGAAGCCTTGTGAATCGTTAACCTCACTACCCTAATGATATTGTATGACTCTCATAAGTTTTTATATGTGATGGGTTTACTTTTGTTTCAATAAAATAATATTAAGTTTCAATCAAATAATATTAGAATGAAGATTCGAACTTGAGACCTCAATTGTAGAGATAAATGTTCTTAATTATTAGTTACGAGCTCCGGCTATCACTAGAGAGGTTGGGATATCCTTGCCTTCCATTATTATATGTATTAATTTGGGCTGGATACATAGAAGTAAAAACTAAAAGCTGAAAAAAGTTGAGAGATACCACAAAATATACATTGCTTTACACTGATATTGCATGGTGGTTTGAAAATGAAGTTTATGGGCAGTGTTTTAAGATATATATATATATATAAATTCTTTTATATGGATATCCGAACGTTATTATCGTACGGACGTCATGTATTGTGTACTACTCCTCCTTGACTTTTTGCCTGTTTATAATAGCATCCGTATGATAATAATGTGCGAACATCCGGATAAAAAAATAACTATGCATATATATATACTTGAAAATATCTTTAAAATGCTTTTTGAGCCAATCTCTTAGATTAG